CATTCTAAAATATATAGTAATATTTTTTTTTGTAACTAAATTTAATTTAGTTTTCTCTTTAATTTTAAAATTTAAGAATAATTTTTTAACAACACGGGTGTTGTAGTAGTAAATAAATAAACATAAAATATGTCTCCAGTCAGTCAGATAGACTTAAATTGACAATCAGATTCCACGTCAGCTAAAGCAATGCTCAAATAATGTCTATTACCTTTTTGTCTAATATCTCAAGTGATAGTCTCCATCCAACTATTTTTAAATTATTTCTTTATTCTTTTCTAAATGAACTCTTCTTCTTTTTTTTTTCATTATATTTGTTCCTTTTTTTTTCCCACCACTTGGAATTTGAAGAAATAAAAAGAATAAAATAAACAAATTATGAGAAAGAAAATTTGCTAAATATTCGTTCGACTTAAAAATGGACTGAAAATTTAATTACGTAGACTATGTTTGGTAAAATTAGCTAAAAAGTTAGTTGATAGCTGAAAAGTTAGTTGATAGCTGATAAACTAGCTTATATAATGAAAGTGTTTGGTAAACTTAGCTGATAAGCTAGCTGAAATAAAATTTTCAACGAGATTTTTTGAAAAACTACTCAACGAAGCGTATGAGATAAAATCGAACTTTAAAAAAAAAAATCATCCTACCAACGAAGCTTACTTAGATGCGAGAAGTTTATAAGTCAATCAAATAAATTATAAACTAACTTATTTGTCGACCAAACATAAGCTTAGAATATTAAATGATAAGATGAGACCAAAGTAACTATATGTAATTAAATATATAATTTTAATATAAATAAAGATATATATAAGATGAGATAGCCAAAAAAAAATCAGTAGGAAACGTATAGCTGAAATTTCGCACTATTAGGTGTCCACGCCTTATTTCTATGAAGTCAACCAAATAAATCAATTATACAAAAATTTTATGGAATTATCGGATAGTTTTCTTATGTAGTCAATAATCACTTAATTCTTTTATACTTGTCCAATATGTATTTATTGTATGACACGTGTCAACATACTATTTGTAAATAATCGCGAATGGTTTAATAGGCCGAGCCATCCAATGGTTCGATAACAAAAACCGATCAATTATAATACTTACCCTAAAGTAAAAGCAATACTTTAATAAGTAATACTAAGGGGTCGTTTACTTTGCTTGACAGGACGGGATAAGTTTAATATCTAACGTTTACATAAAGGGATTGGGACAAAATTGAACTGACGTGGCGCACACGTGTCTGCGGGTCCCACAAGCATATCATTCATTCTCTGATTATTTCTGTCCGGGGTAGACCCCGAGATTTTTTAATCTCGTCCTGTACATGACTATTTTACCCTCAAAATTGACTGGGAAAAGACATAAATAACCTCCAACATCCATTTAATTACAACAATACCTTACCATTTAAATATTAAAATCTGTTTGCATATGCAATAAGCCCTCATCTTCGTCGACTTGGTTTCGAAAGTGCAGAGGGTGTGGATCTCATCCTTTCAGCGACAATGCACACATGTACAGTACATAGTTGAATGCCTTATGGTCGCCCTCTTCAAGAACCCTAGTTTTTCATAGTGGGGTTTTGTGTTTCTGTAGTTCTGCTTAGTGCTTACCCTCTCAATCTTGGTTCAATTTTTTATTTATTTATTTATTTATTTATTTTGAAATTTGGAAGTCGATTTTTTTGTTTTGATTAACCGTCGGCCTATGCATTTGCCCAAAATTGACGTCGGGTTTGAATCGGATTAAGGCTGGGCAAATTAAGGAACAAATGTTAGGGCTCCAAAAATCGACCTGTCACTTGTCGTAGACCTACTGCTTACACCCGACTCCCGACAAGTATTACTATGTGACCTTTGCCGCCGGATTTCTGCGGATCTATGGGTAGAAAACTCTGTGCACGCCGCCACAAATTCTTAAATTTTGGTATTGAAGATGGGGGTATAGTAGTCTTTTTATCCACATCAGGTAAATGCTTGATAGGGATTTTGTAAACCTGATTTTGTGCTGATGTGTAAAGGTAAATGGGATTATTGTGTCCAATCCCATCCATCCAAGTAAATGAGGCCTAAATGAATATGGCAAAAAAAAAAAAATTGTAGAATAGATTTCTTGGAACATTGAATGATTTCTGGGCCCAGAAATTGATTTCTGGGTCCAGAAATCGAATATGGGCCCAAAAATTGATTTCTGGATAGTCTCGTTTCTTGACCAGAAATCGATTTCTGACCCAAAAATCACATTTCCCACCCAGAAATCGATTTTTGGATCGTCTCGTTTCTTGTCCCAGAGATCGATTTCTGATCCAGAAATCGATTTCTGGATAATCTCGTTTCTACTCCAGAAATTAATTTCTTGCTCAGAAATCACATTTCCGATCCAGAAATCAA